TATTTGAAATGGACTCACACAAGCAACACATTCATGATTTAGATATTAAACTGCTGTACGAAGTATCTGTTGTAGATTCATTTTTTGGAGTTCTAACCCCGTACAATAAATTTGCTGTAACAAGCCGGAGACACATATATTATAAAGAAATATTTTATAGGTAATTAAAATAAGATTTTAGTATTATCCCCAAACAATAATTTTGAAACTAAACTTATCACCTTAATATATTAATTTATATCACTTTTTTACTTAAGACAATACCGACTTCTGAAGAAGCGACTGATTTAGCTTTGTTTACGTTAAATTTCAATTTTCGTAATGCGCATGTGCTTTTCATTTGTAGCTTACGTACAGTTATTCGGTACTCTCTATTTTACTAAAGCCCAACAGCTGGAGCTTTATTTATTCTACAACAGTATTATAAACACTCTTTTGTTCAAAATAGCTATAACAATTCAGTGAACGAATTTTTTTAATACAATATTTTCACTTTCTCCCATAATCATTACTGTGCGTTTTAGATTAGTCAAAGTAAATATGTTCATGACAAGAATTAATATTTTTCCATAGGTTTTGAGCTATTCCGTTCTGTTGGTTATTCATTTATTCATGTTGTATATTTATTAAACATTGGTAGAAACTTGTCAATTATATATAAAAAGATATACTTCAACAGTAACTCGCTTAAAATTGAATCATGGTCGTTTTCCGGTGCACCTTTATAAATTAGGGATACTTAACTCCCCGTTATGTGACTGTGACAACATGTCCATAGGTGATATTAACCACATATTTCTGGAGTGTAAAAAAAATGAATCGGCTATCTCTAGACTATATAATTCTCTAATAGAATACAACACTCCTCTTCCTCTCAACATTAGTTCTCTGTTATCAAGCCATAATAAACGCGTTTTAGATGCAATAATAAATTACGTTAAAGAAGCTAAAATCGATATTTAACCTTATAAGCACCTAATATTATGTTTCTTCAGGAATATGAATAAAAATGAATTCTGTGGCTAATAGACTATGTCTAAGGCCATCCCTTCCCTCTACACACACACACACAACTTGTCAATTATGGACATGGATTTTAAGTCGATATATTGACTTATTTAGTCATGAGAAGCATAGACCTCAGAAAAAGGATATACATTACCTCGTTTTGGCATTCAACCCAAACATATTTTAGTCTCAAGATGAAAGTACTCGTAGCTAGTTATGTCCATAAGTTGACAAGTTTGATTTAAGTACAATATTTGTGTTCGGTTTTTATAGCATTCTAACCATTTGTTCTAATAAAATAAATCGTTAAATAATTGATTTTTAAGCTTCAACATTAACAGAAAATGTTAAAATTTGTTTCTCGTTTTTGTGTCTATATTAGTATTAGGCACATTAAGTTGATTTATTCCCCCTCATATCTGATGTGATACGAAAATTTCTATTACCTTTCAGAATCTTTACTTCCTGTCTGTTACGCTATTCAATGTTTTCCTACAATTGTTTAACTTCTCCTGGAATGCTGAAGAAAAACATTGTTGGTTAAATTATGTATCCAGTGAATCAAAACACGAACACTTAACAATCGACATATCTGGAATATCTTACACATGAGAGACTAAAATCATATGTTGAACGAATATTAACGGAATACCAGACCGGGAATATGAAAAATTAATTCTGGAATTACAGTAGAACACATAATTCACAAAGCAAGAAAACACAAAAAGAAATGCACGTAATATTCATGGATTTTAAAAGTGTATTTGCTACAATCAATCGGACCAAGATGATGGAAGAATTCGAGCATCCGGGATTTAAGAAAAATTAATATTCATGTTAACAGTAAGTTTAAAGAACATCACAACAAATATAAGATTTAACGGAAAAACTTCCCTACTATTCAACCTGACTCTAGAAGAAATGGTAAGAACGGTAAACCTCGTGAACAAAAACATTATCACAAATCAGCTTCAGGTAATAGCATATGGAGATGATCTATCATTATAGCGAAGACAAAAATATCACTTGTAAGAGCAATTGAAAAATTAGATAAAGAAGCAAAAAGAATGGGACTAGAAATAAACCAATACAAATAAAGTGTAGAAAGATGGGGAAAGAGATGATAGTCAATTTGGATTCAGAAACGGACTAGGAATCAGTGTGGCGTTATTTGCTTTTAATGTGATAGCTCGAAGAAGATAACTCCATTACTATACAATGTATAGAATGAGCCCATTTTTGAAGAAGCTTTACTATCTGAAAGTAAAGGAATAATAATTAACAAAAGAACAAAAAAGATGTGCAGATAACTCAGTGATTATGGTAAGCTCTGCTGAGCAGCTACTACTAAACAAGACAAAAAGTTACTGTGAAAAATACGTACTAAAAGAAATAAGTACTAAAAATTAATATAAAAAAGACTAAATACATAATAATAACAAAAAAAAACAAACATACAAATAAAAAAATATATACAAACATACATTACAAATAATGACCAATCAACAGACATACAGGCCAGGATAAAAATAACAAAAAATGCGTTTGTAAAAAATAAAAACTAATCTTTGCAATAAAGATCTTAGAACGAAGAGCTCTAAGATGTCACGTGTTTTCGATACTACAATATGGACTTGAAAGCTGAATGCTGAAGCAAAAAACACATAAATAAGCTACAGTCATTTGAAATATGGTGTTCCAGAAGAATGCTTAGAATAGCATGGACACAGAAGAAAACGAACATGGGAAGTATTGCAAGAAATAGACAAAGAATACGAAATAATAAATACAATAAAAATAAGTTAGAATATCTGGGATAACAATATGAAATGCTAAAATTGATAATATAGCTAAAGATATGAAGAGGAATGAGTATAGGAAGAAGGAAAGTGTCATGGTTAAAAAATTTAAGGGAGTGGTTTAGATGCAGTCCGTTACCGTTACCCCTCCACATGTTCCTTTTGGTTTCAGTGGGTACTCAAGTTCACCTATATATCTATGATTCGTTTTCCTATTGATCTGATTGTTGTATTGAATTTCCGTATTTCTTCCCTCATATTTTTATCTTGATGATTTCTTTCTGTTCTTCTTGGCTTTTTCACACAATAATCTATTTTGAGTTTTTAATTGTAGCTATGCAGTGTGTACTTTCTCACCCCAATTTATATTTTGTCCAGATTTTTGTTTTGTTAAAACAATGAACAGGTCCCTTAAAATTAGAAGAACACAGAAGAAATAAGTATTTTTATAAGTGATTGCGTTATGTTGCCATTTGGCAACATACTCGATTTTAGATAGGTAAAAAACACTGGAACGCAAATGTGATCACACTCCATACTATTACTGTTTGCTTATATACTAGTCAAACTCTATGCTCTAAAATTTATGGAAATATGTAACTTTTGGCTTAGTTTAGGATGAGGACGAAATTCATAGTGCATTTTCTCGCGCTATTTTTTGAGACCATTAATCAAATACAATATTATAAGTACTAATAGATAGTGCAAATATGTTAAAACATACTTTTTCGCCTCTTAATGGCGTGTATTTTAATATAATAATGTTTTATTACATTGATTATTTTTGTGCTATTATTTATCAACAAAAAACTCTGTTTAGACTTGAATGTGTCAGCAATTTGTTTTATTATAGGGCGAGTGATTGAAAAAGTGCGAATTTTGTCACAAAAAACCCATCGAAATCCTCGCAGATCTTCACAAGCTTGACAAAAGTGCTGTGCCTGGTAAAATAGAAGCACTACATATCTGAATATAGTTTTCCCTCTATAAGTTAAACTGGAAAGAACTTGGCTTGGCATTATATGAACCAATATATACCGATACCGATAAAACCTCACTCAGTGGGGATTTAAATTCTTCATTATAGCGGAGTATTTCAGAACATGCATAAAAAATTCAAATATATCCGGTCAGATAAAGTTAAATGAGTTGTCAAGTAACTGAAGATATTTTCTATATATAGATTTTTTTGTGTGTATAAACAACAATTTTAGTTGAAAATATGTTATATTGGACTTAATTTCCCCAAAAACTGTTCTCTAAATACAAATTAATTTTCTTTTAATTTAATTTATATTTTGAAAGCGATTTTAGAGATGGAAATCGAAACATCAAATATAAGCAATATTCAATGTGGTTTAGTTCCATTGGATGTAGATAAAACATTGTAATGCTCGCATCTTCCTTTGTTGGTAGCAATACTACAACTCTCGTAAAAATATTTGGTAGAAAAGAAAAAAAGCTTATCCAAATATTATAAGTAAACATCGAGTCCGTAGATTCGATGAACAGCTTCACAGTCTTCTTAGTCTTAGTCTATTACACTAAATAGTCACATCTAGTCTACCGGCCATTGCATTATGCACATTTCGTTATTTTAAGCTCATCAGATACAACTTCCTTTTCGTTTAGACGAAATTAAGACTATAACGATTCATAAATCGGTGGTTAATTCAAAACCTTTCAGTCAATCAGTGACTAGTGCACTTTGGATTATAGAAACTACTAGAAGCAAATTACTTCCATGACATCTAGTACCCTTTAAAGAAAAGTGCCTGTTAGCAAGTGATGTTGACATAAATCAGTTTTTTGTATAAATTGTCTTTAAATGACTTTCCAATGCAACTCAGTGTAAAGAAAATGAAATTTTTATCTCAACGATCATATTTTTTATTAATATTAATAAACGATATAAATATTTCTTAATATATTAATTTTAAAACTCAGCCATTGGGCTATGGAATATGTTCTTTTTAGTACTAACTCCGTTCTAGGTGATCAATAACAAACTATATAGTCAAACCTACAAATTCGTTAAAATTTCGTGATTATATTGATACTATATTAATTTTGATCATTATAAAAAAATTTTGACAATAAAAAACATTATAATAATACAATATTAATAATAATTAATAATTTTTTTATAATTGTCAAAACATGTAAAACAATTTAACAATTTAACAATACCATCGATTAAGCCTAACTTGTAACTTGTTTCATTTTTTACGTTTATATTTCAATTATAAAATTTAAATTAATAAAACACCTAATAATTTTCATATATTTTGAATTTATATAATTATTTTTTATTGTTTGTTATTTTCTCATCGGAGGAAATTCCATAGAAACTTTTTTTGAATTCACTACGAATTTTGACCATGATGAACGGCATGTGGAATGCAATTTTAGATTCTCTTGCTGAGTACATTATCAAGCTGTTAGCTTTGCAAGTTTTAGATAGCACAGTGGTAAAAATTTGAATTCGATTTCACCAGGTAGAAATCGTATGATTTCTCTCTTAGAAACTTTTTTAATTACTTTATGTTAATGATTAAAATCAAAAGAATGTCTATTTTCTAGAGAATGCTAAGCCAAGGCTGTAGTGTTGAATTTGTTGGTTTGTACACTTTATTTGTGTGCAACAAACCTCACAACGCAATGTTACTAAAGATCAGTCGGATGTTGTTAATAAAATAAATTTTAAACATTATAACTCAACATATATTGGACAAACATACTAATAACTACATAGGAGGATTGTTGCACACAAACATAGTGTACAAACTCTACAAACCAATAAATTAAAGCCTTCGCTAAGCATAATCTAGAAAATAGCCCCACGTTTAAGCAATAATTAAGTGTTTTATTTATACTAGACCGACAAACAAAAGTTTTTAATATTTTTTTATGTATATATATTTCATGAAGTGAAATTAAAATATCTATTATAATTTAAACAAGAAGTTTGTTCATCATTACTGAAAGTATTAATCAAACTCGAGAATCCAATTATAACGAATTAGATGATGACGTAAAACGGATTTAGCAGTAAAAATCTGATACACAAAATCAACGTAAATAAAGTGCAATCACACATTGTAAATGCATTCTATATAATATTGCGCGTATGCCATTACTTTAAAACAATCACAGAAAAGACACCGACTAGTGTTAGCGATCTAACATCAACCATACAATTTTTCCAAAATCATGGTCGGAGCGTCAGCTTGATACCTTGAGATTTGCCGTAAAAGGGCAAATTTTTTCATCCTTCCTTTAGTGGATTCCATATCGTATAAGGTACACAAATTTAAGAGCAAGGACTCGTTTAAGGCATGAACGGGATTCGATGAGAGCGCTGATTCCAGTACTTGAATAGCTTCTTTCAGATGTCCACCATATAGTAGGCACACACCCATATTGTTTAAAATCTAAAACAAAAAATAAATACAAAAATATATATTTTTGATGTGAAACATCTAATGCGGCCTGTCAAACCATAAGCTTTAAATTTTTTTTTATAATAACCAGTAGTATATTATCTATTTTTATAATAACCAACTGGGAAGTATTGGCAGATTTATTCAACACGGTGTACGATACGGGAATAATACCACAGGAGTGGCTAAAGTCAGCATTTATAACCATCCCTAAAAAACAAGCAGCAAAAGAGTGCTCTGATTATCGAACACTGAGCCTCATGAGTCATACTTTAAAAGTTCTGCTAAAAATAATACATAAGAGAATATACGAAAGGCTAGAGGAGGATATTAGCGAGACGCAGTTCGGGTTCCGAAATGGAATGGGTACTCGAGAAGGACTATTTGCCATCAACATATTAATTCAGCGATGTCGGGATGTAAATGTTGATCTACACTTGTGCTTCGTTGACTACGAAAAAGCTTTCGATAAAGTAAGACATGAAAAACTAATATCAATACTTATGAACAAGCGCATTGACAGTAAAATCATAAATATAGTGCAAACATTATATTGGAACCAAAGTGCCATAGTTCAAATTGATGGGCAACACTCAGAAGAAATGAGGATCTGTAGAAGAGTTAGACAGGGATGTGTGTTATCACCACTTTTGTTTAACTTATATTCTGAAGAAATTTTCCAAAACACGCTCAATAATATCGAAGCGGGAGTCACTGTTAACGGAAAATTAATTAATAATTTAAGATATGCAGACGACACTGTGATCATAGCAACGAGTATAGAGGATCTACAACATCTTATCGAAAGCTTGAGTATAAATAGTGCTGAGATGGGAATTACTATAAACGCTAAAAAAACGAAGTACGTGCTGATTACAAAAAGGCCACAAAATATACATCACCTATTGACAATAAATGGTAACGTGATAGAACACGTAGAAAAATATCAGTATTTGGAAACTTTGATCAATGAAACCAATGATCATACTGTAGAAATAAACAGACGAATAGAGATTGCCAGATCAGCATTTATACGAATGAAGCCACTCCTAACGTGCAAAAATCTAAATTTGGAGATCAGACTACGTACCATTCGCTGTTATATATTTTCAATATTATTATATGGAGCTGAGACTTGGACATTAAAAAAAATGTAATTTAAAAAGAATCGAGGCCTTCGAACTCTGGTTATACCGCAGATTATTGAAAATATCATGGACTGATAGAATTACAAATAAAGAAGTACTGTAGAGGGTTGGTAAAGAAACAGAACTAATCACCACTATACAAACCAGAAAACTGGAATACCTAGGCCACGTGATGAGGGGACCAAAATATGAAATTTTGAGACTGATAATACAGGAAAAGATTCAAGGAAGAAGATCTGTTGGCCAAAGGCAGAACTCATGGTTAATGAATCTACGTGATTGGTACCAATGCAGATCGATTGATTTGTTTAGAGCAGCAAGTTCTAAAATAAAAATAGCCATTATGATTGCCAACCTCCGTAGGGAGACGGCACTTTAAGAAGAAGTAGTATATTATCATAAATAAAATGAACAGCATAAACGATTCGACGCCTATTAAACGCATTCTTCAATGAATTAGTCACATATACTCTAGTTTTATTAGGATTATATATTAGAATTAACAATCAAGATCTGAAAATAATTAGAAATCTTTACTGGAATCAGACAGCAAATCTCAGAGTTGAAGGTGAACGACATCAGATATGCAGACGACACCATAGTATTTGAGGACAACTTAGAAGACCTACAAGTTCTTATGAACAAAATCACGTATTACAGTCAACAATATGGACTCAATGTAAACGTTAAGAAAACAAAGCTTATGATAATTAGCAAGAAAAGGATAACAAAAGGTCAACTCTACGTCAACCAATCCCTTGTAGAAAGAGTAACGCACTACAACTACCTCGGCACGATAATAAATGAAGAATGGACCAACAACCAGGAGATAAGAGCATGCATCGGAAAAGCTAGATCCACCTTCAATCGGATGTGAGCCTTTTTCAAGAGCCACAACTTCTCTCTTGATACAAAAGTAAGAATGCTGCGATGCTACGTCTTTTCTGTCCTTTATTATGGTGTTGAATCGTGGACCTTGAACGAAGATATGTGCAGAAAACTGAAAGCATTTGAGATGTGGCTATATCGGAGAATACTTAAGATTCCGTGGACTGACCGATTCACAAATGACGAGGTCCTCAGAAAATGAATAAAAACCGAAGGTACTGACCACCATCAAATCACGAAAGTTACAAATCTTTGGACATATACGAAATGAATCCAGATATTCTCTCCTTCAAGCCATCCTGCAAGGAAAAAAATTTGGAAAACGAAGTCCAGGAAGAAGAGGAACATCTTGGATAAAGAACCTCAGAATCTGGTTCAATACAACATCTTTGCAGCTTTTCCCCGCTGCTGCAGATAAGATAAAGATTGCCATGATGATCTCCAACATTCGTAACGGATAGGCACATAAAGACGAAGAACTCTAGTTTGTTTCAATATGCATTCTTCTCTTGTCCTCTTCTAATTTATAACATATAAATCCACACGATCTACAAGATCAAAAGAGTACGTCAAACTAAATTACATTGTTAAGAATGAGACAAAACATTCTGTTTGGCTAGGAAAGTCTGAAGAACTAGATATTCTTATAGGAGTGGCACAATCGGTACGATCCATAAGATCAGTGAAATAAAACTCCACAGAATAAACAAAATCGGGCACTCATATTACGAAGGGTTGTTAATCAAACAGAGGACGGAATATACGGAAGTGCACTATCGGTTTTATACAAAGATAAAATTACAGAATCGATAGTATCGAAGAAGCTCAAAAAGCTTTAAGATAATATATGTGAAAATAACAGTAAAATAATCAAAAGCACCGCATGAATTTTCTCTAACATAAAAACAAATAACTAATGTACTTACACAACGGATTATTCAAAATAAGTCTATTCCTATAGAATGGAAAATGACAGTGAAAGTCTATGGGTAGACTGACTGACGAATTCTGGAGGTTGGAGAAGCAGATAGGTATATCTGATGAGCAGAGCTGATTTAAGGCAGACTGATCTTGTATAGACAATTTATTTTGGCTAAAGCAAATTAAAAAAAAAAAAAAGAAATTGCATGGAGCAGAAAACTCACGACCTCTTTGTTGATCTTCAAAAGGCTTATGACAGTATCCCAATAACCAAACTTACAGTATTTGAGAACAAAGGGAATATTAAAAATCTTCTGAAACTGTTTTCGTGAATATAATTAGCTGGGGATATTGTTCACTGAAGATGGTTTGGACGACAGAAAATAGGTAGAAAATTGTAAAAGGAAGGGCAATTACGAGTCAACTACAATCAGTATTGTAGAATAACAATACCAGAAATGAAACAAAAAGTTACAAAAATATAGTAGAAAGCTATGCCACATATCTGACGCAGCTATGTTTCTGCCACGTCATTCGTCTGATGACTGTTTTGTAAATTTTGCCTTTAATTTCTTTTCCGATATTTTTATTCCTAGACATTGTTTCATTCAGGCATCCTGTGGCTCGTTTTGCCCTACGCACTTGATTTTTTACTTCCAGTTTCCTCCTGTTTCCAGCTTTCCGTAGCTAGACAGTGTGATGTCCAGATATTTAAACTCTGTAACTTGTTTTATTACTAGCTCCAATTTACATCTTGGTAAATTTGCTGTTATTATAACAATACATTTTGTGTACTATATATATATCAGAAGCAATATTACAATCCCTATAATTAAAATTCTACAGAAAACAATTTCATATAAATATTCAGTTTACCATTATATTAGACGGTTCCAAATGACTAGCTTCCTGAAAGTAGACGTACGCCTCATCAAACGCACTCTGTGCAATAGACAGCAGACCTTTGTCGACCAATTCTCTTACTCCAGCAGGGCCATTCTTCGTTTCTGTTGCTTCTTTAAAACAAACTTCTGCGCCAGAAACGTTACCCATTTGCAAATGCAGTCGACCTAATGCGGATAGAAGAGCATGTCTTGGGGCGCCATCTCTGAAAAACGAAAAAAATGTATTACAAATTCCAATATGATACAACAGTTATTTTCTTGTGGCATTTTATGTTATTCCAGACCTTGACGAAGATATGATAGGCACTTACTCTGACGATCAAGCTATTATATCAGTTGGAGAAGACCATGAAGAAGCTGCAAGAAAACTGCAGATGAATATTGAAACACTGAATAAAATCAATCACTAGACAAAAAATAGAGAATTAAAATGAATGGTACAATATCAGTGCACGTCAATTTCACCTATAAAAGAGTGCGATATTAGCCTATTAGAATAGTTCATATTCGGCTCGCTGTTGCAGATTCTGCAAAATACCTGGGGTTGCATTTGGATAAGACACTGTGTTGAAAAGTTAGTATTAAAGAGAAGAGACAACTCAACATAAAATTTGGAAAGATGATAGAACTGTACATTGATTACAAAAAAGACCAGTATGGACATACAGCGCACAGCTCTGAGTATACGCCACTAAAAAAACATTGAAATAAGACAGAGGTTTCAAAATAGCGGACTAAGCAGCAGCGTTGATGCTCCTTGGAAAGTAAAAAACAGCTGCATCCACAGAGATCTGAAGATGGAGAAAGTAGAACAAGTAATTGCCAAATGTGCCAGCAGACATGAACAAGGTCTACTTCAACATGTGAATAATGAGGCCACCCAATTCCTCGACAACTCAGATATAGAAAGAAAGGCTCAAGAGCAGAAAACCCTTCCGAGTTAGTGAAGTGAAAATAGTGTAAAAGCAGAGCATTGTGCTAGCTTAATACACTTGTGTAAACTGTAAATATTAGTGTAAGTAAGTTATAGCACCTATAGAAACATTATTACTGAATGAGACTATAGTTCTTAAAGTAACAATTGAGGTTAGAATAGAACTGAGAATTGATCTACTTGATCAAATTGTAGTACAAGTACCGTCATCTTGTTAGCATAATAAATTAAAAAAGAACAAGCTTTGAGCATTTATTAGTCTTAAACCCAAATCTGTATGCCTTGCATTATAATTAACACCTATCAAAAATCTGTTACTATTGGAAATACAAAAAAATTAAAGCCATAAAATATAAAATATATCTATCCATGTAAAATAGAAAAGAATATTGAATATTACAATGCATTCTTTCCACGCGCTATTTAAAAGACCCTCGGGCGCTATGTTTAAGATTCTTATAATAGTTCTCTTATAAAGCTTTTTAGATCATTTAAGTCAAATCGACCTGCATCGCAACCGGTCCCGGATATTTCAATTATTTTTTGTGAAATATCTTTAGGACACCCAGTATGTCTTGCATTCTAAGCATCACCTTCTATCACAAATCTATTATCACACCGAACTAATAAAAAAATCTAAAGCAATAAACTATAGGTTGTCCATGTAAAATAGAAAAGAAGATTTAATTACATTGATAATTCTTTCACTCAGTTGTGTCAATTGTATTTGACACATTTTATCACAAAAACAGATCGGTTGAAGTTGTCAGTTTGACGAAGTAAGTTTTTAATTATGGTATAAGCTGTTTTTATATGTCAAAATTATTTTTACACACTCTTAAAAATGTCCGAAGCAAGAAGTAGTATTGCACGGGCCCCACATACGTCCCTGAGGTAAGATCACATTATTTAAACAGAATGTCACATTTTTGACAATATTAAATCGTAGGTTATAATTTGTATTTATGGCACTTGATAGAAGTGGCCTTTATATAAGAATATATCATACTTTCATCGGCCTATATTTATCTTCATAAATTCAATCTCATTAATTGTATCTATTACTAACAATAAAATATTTTTATTGTCTATTACGGTCTATTATATTACATCTATTTTTTTTATTTTCTCGATCTAAACACTTCTTCATACACTAATAAACTCTCAAATCATATTAATACTCCAGCCTACAGACGAATTCCTAACAATCCAACAACCTGTCTGGAGAAAACAACAAAAGCCATTATAAATAAAACCTCTCTTCCTGTTGACATATAACAACCTCTAATTCCTCGTGAAAAGTCTTTCAGAACACCTCGAATATATGGTCTACCCAAAATTCACAAACCCGATATTACTCTACGTTCCATTGTCAGTGAGTACAACTGCCCTACACAACCATTGGCCAAGTACTTGGCTAAAACTCTACAACCTCTCGCCGAAAACGCTTCATCCTTCCTCAAAAATTCTTTTCATTTCCTCGAACTTCTCAAACAATACCCTATCTCACCGTCAGACATTCTAGTAAGTTTCGATATCGTTTCACTCTTTACAAACATTCCTATAGACGAAACTCTAAACACTGTGAAAACTAAATACAGTATCCAGCAAGACCATTTATCTCTCATTAAACATTCTATGTCTAACACTTATTTCATCTTCCAAAATCAATTCTACAGACAAATAAGTGGTGTGCCAATGGACTCCCCACTATCTCCAGTAATTGCCAATATCTTTATGGAAGAATTCGAGACCCGAGCACTATCCACATCAATGCTCAAACCCACATGTTGGCTACGATATGTTGACGATACATTCGTTATTTGGCCCCATGGCAGGGACGCTTTGGTGTCTTTTCAAACCCATCTGAATGGTATACATCCTAGTATCTAGTTTACCATGGAGGTAGAAACTGATTCATCCCTATTAGTTCTCTACATTATAATAAAGAAAAACCAATTTCCAGGTTTTCATCACTCTGTTTATCGAAAACCCACCCAGATCCTATATAGGCCCCAGACCCTATATAGGCCAAACAAATCGTAAAATCCAAAATAGAATTTATGAACATTCCATTTCTGTTCGCAATTCCGATTTAATGTCAGCTCTAGGTCAACACCATCTTGATATAGGTCACAAAATTGATTTTGAGAACTCCAGTACCATAGCCCCAATCCGCAAGGCCGACTTGTGTGTGTGTGTGTGTGTGTGTGTGTGTGTGTGAAATGTCACATTTTTGACAATATTAAATCGTAGGTTATAATTTCTATTTACGGTACTTGATAGTAGTGGCCTTTATATCAGCAAATATCATATTTTCATCGACCTATTTTTATCTTCATAAATACAATCCAATTAATATTATCTATTACTAAAAATAACATATTTTTATCGTCTATTTCGGTTTATTATATTAAATTTATTTTTTTATTTTCTCGACCTAACATGTTCTCCTCATTTTATTATCGAAAATTATGAAAATTATCTTCCAATATTTTCTCGCCCAATACCCAATCATATACTCTTATAAACATTTTCATTTCCAGCTATTTCGAAACTTTCATGCACGTACTTAAAGGAAATGTAGGAACTGGTATGTTGGCCTTAGGAGACGCAGTGAAAAATGCTGGTCTCATCCCTGGAGCGTTACTAATTGTATTTATTGGTATTGTAGCTGTACATTGTCAGCATTTACTGGTAAGTATAAATTATTTATTTGTTAAAATAGGCCCGTCTCTCACAATCGGCGGTTTCTAGGTAGATATAAACTAAATGTGCTGTTTATAAAAGAGTTTTGGAAGCATAGCTTTCTTGCTAGAATACATTGATCGGTGCGGTGAATCGCGCAGAAGTATGAAAAAATACAAAAGACAGAAACACAATGGAACGAAAGGTCACGCGACTACAAACTACGTGGAGTAGTAAATACAGTCCCATCCTCCTCCTCTATCCTTCGTAAGGATGTGGTGACTCTCTCATCATTCTTCTCTCTCCTGGGCGCGGTGTGCTGCATCAGACAGAGAGTAACTGGTAGCGCACTTTATTTGGTCTGACCAAGATCTTCCCCGAGTTCTTTTACCATCTACCTTGCCTTCAACCACCAACCTCTCCATGCCTTCCATTAGTCTGGTAATGTGTGCAAAGTACCTCAATATATTTTGGTTGATGATTGTAGTAAGTCTAGTATTGATGTCCCATGCGTGTTTCTTAACAAAATAAAATATAAAATAAATTAAAATTAAATAAAATTAAATTAAAATTATAAATTTAAAATAAAATAAATTTAAATAAATTAAAATACAATAAAATAAATTAAATTGAAAACCATCGCTCCGTGCGTAGACGATAAGAAAACTATGCTTCCTCCCCTCGGTCACTCTCGGACACTCCCCGAGTGTCACATCCCGTTTTTTAATAATTGTATTATCGACTTTTTCTTACTTTTACTATTTTTGTTTCAGCTTAATGCTTTCAGAAGTTTAAAAAACAAATACGAAACAGAACATTTACAAGATTATGCAGATACAGTTGAATTGTGTTTTGAACGTGGAACAGCTAGAATGAACTATATGGCTAAACCTATGAAAATCATTCTTAATACTTGTATATGTTTCTCGCAATTGGGATCCTGTTGCATCTATATAGTATTTATAGCTGAAAACATTAAACTGGTTAGAACTTTCAACAGTATTATTCATCTAATTCTTTTTTATTGTCGGATATCTATAATCCATTTATAGGTACTAGCCTCCATTTTCTGTACCAACTTTTATGTGATATTCCAAAAAATATTTCTAGCAATAGCAGTAGATCCCTTACTTCCTTTGAGCAATTCAGACAAAAACATAACTACGATTAGTAAAATAGGTTTCTCTAACAATGGGCGATTTCTGTGTAGATATAAACTAAAATTGCTGTTTGTAAGAGTTTTTTAATCCTTGTATTATCGACAGTTATTACTTTTATTACTTTTGTTTCAGCTTAACGCTCACAGAAGTTTAAAAATCAAATACGAAATAGAAAATTTAGAAGATTATGCAGATACAGTTGAATTGTGTTTTGAACGTGGAACGAACAGAATGAACCATATGGCTAAAACTATGAAAATCATTCTTAATACTTGTATTTGTTTCTCGCAATTGGGATTCTGTTGCATCTATATAGTGTTTGTAGCTGAAAATATTAAAGTGGTTAGAACTTTAACAGTATTATTCATCTAAATCTTTTTTATTGTTCGATATCTTTAATCCTTTTATAGGTACTATCCTCTATTTTCTATACCAACTTGTACATGGTATGCAAATACATCTTAAGGAATAGTAGTAGATCCGTTACTTCGTTTTAGCACTTCAGACAAAAACATAACTACGAATATCTCATCCCTCATATCGTTTACTATGAGACACATTCCACTAAATAAATTTAATAAGTCACTTAACATCATTCCACTAAATTTATGTAAAAAATATTTAAAAACATTTAAGTATATTTGCAACTATACTTAAATGGGAATGTCCGACCAGGTTTACCGATGGGTAGGAGTGAAATAAAATACCCCCTACGGACCATCAGGTAGAGGAGACATGTACGAACATTGATAGATATGAAATGATTCATTTGAATTTCGCGCTGAATTTGCTACCGGAAATTAACAACAGTAAACCGTTCTTCAGTACAGAGTCAGTGGACGCAGGCAGGTAATGCAAAGTGTCAATTTTTTTTAGATAATTTGATAATTTAAGGTAAGTTTTTTAATTTTTACTAAATTTTTACGATATTTTATTACAAAATACAACATACAAAAGCCGGCTGCTGTTAAATGTGAGCAAGTAAACATCTCTCACCTTCATTTCACGTGTTAATCGTTAATTTAACCAAACCTTTTTGGAGGTTGTGTTTGATAATGTTTTTCGCGTGAAATGAGGCAATGAAGATTAACTACGTTGTGACATATCGGACCGCTGGTCCTATATGCCCCTGTACATTTAGCAAAATTATTTAGCGCATATCTTTTCAGATGCGAAATTACAAGAAAAAAAGACTTCCTCCAAATGGAAAAAAGCTAATGATAAAAGAATAAAAGAATAAAACAACAAATGAGGCTAACATCGCTCTTCAGGATGGCATGAGTTTGAGAACTGCAGCTAAAAAATTTGAGATTCCAAGAACTTGCTTGATAAGAGGTTTAAAATTAGTAAAGGCTGACAACGGTTCCATTCAGGGGTCTTCTCGGGCAGTTTTAATCCTGTTTTAGTGAAAAAGATGAGAAAATTTTAGTACATCTTTTCGATATACAAAACAGATTTTACGGACTTACACCACTTGATGTCAGAATTTCTTCTGACTTAGCTGAAAGGCTTAATATACCACATCCCTTCAATAAAGTGTTGAGGCGAGCCGGAGAAGATTGATTGGCCGGACTGTAAGAACGTAAGAACGTCATCATCAGCTTTTCAGTACGAAAGCTTGAAGGTGCTAGTCTAGAGCGGTTGGTTTGAATAGAAACGAAGTTAACTATTTCTATGATTTTTTAACTGAAGTGATGGACAAATTCAGAGTTCCATCTTACAATATATATATATATATATATATATATATATATATATATATATATATATATATATATATATAATTTTTACCAATCCTGAATCACTTCAGCACACAAACCTAGTAACATAGCTAAGAAAGATCAGAAATAATTCGGTTGAATTGTAAGTGCTGAAAGAGGTTCCACTATAACAGTGGAATGCGCAGTATCAGCTTTAGGAATTTATATTCCGCCTTTTTTCTATTTCCCCGTAAAAGAATGTCACCTCTTCTATTGAAAGGAGCACTGGCTGGTGTTATAGGATATGTAAATAAGTCTGGTTAGATGGACAAAGGCCATTTTGTCATATATCTCGATCATTTTATCAAATTCCGATAATCTACTTAGGAATATTCAGTTCTGCAAGTCTTGGACGGACATATTAGTCACAGACAGCTGTGAGCTGTTTTAAAAGCTAGAAAAAATAACATAAATCTTTTAACATTACCTCCACATTGCAGTCATCGAATGCAACCGTTGAATCTTTGATTTTTTGGGCCATTAAAAAAGCACTATTCACGTGAATGTAATTATTACCTGACTTCCCATCCTGGACAAAACATATCCATATAAAAAACGGTAGAATTCTGCTGTAAAGCTTTTCAAAATGTAGCAACTGTTAAAAAAGGCACTAAAAGATTTGAAAAAAGTGACATATTTTTATATAACAGAGATATATTTGACGAGACTTTCTGCCTTCAACAATATTTGATACTTCTTCCCAAACTTGCATCTCGGAATATTTGTCCACGTTAGAATTGCACTAATCTGAAATAATTCGCCCCATAGACCTGCCCTTCCAAATCAGCATTTGTCTGCAACTTCAACCGGTAGATCTGATAGTCATTCTCCTCAACCTGGCATCAGTAAGCAGACTGATGCAGATATCAATGCTAGTTCTTTCACAGACATGCTTCAACTTCTGTCTCCAAAACCCAGCCAACATAACAAAGAGCACAAAACCAATACTAAAAAGGAGATATCGCAAATTTTAACAAGTAGCGCAAATTAAGATTAAGGAAATTAAGAAAATTAGAGGCAAGATAACAAAACCAAAACCACGCACAGAATTGCAGAAGCAGGTTCAAATTTTGAAGCTTGTGCCAAAGAAAAATCAGCCAGTGATGGATAGCAGTGACAGTAGTGAAGATTCATATTCGAAATGTATCTATTGTAATAAACCTTATAGTCGGGGCAAGGTGGAAGATGGCTGAATAAAGTGTCAACAATGCAATAGAAGATATGTTTCTATGGGAATTTTGCAAGTACTAACTGATGGTTACTGATACTGGGGTATACAGGACCGGACGCCATTTTTACTTTATGTTGTAATATTTTTAAAACGTGTTTCTTTATTTGCAGTTATTGTTAAGTATTATATTAAAAATTTTATTCAAAACTATGGGTAGGGTGGTATTTTTCATTACTTATTAAGTTTGGCAGATGGTAAAAGTGTTATATGTGTAAAGTGTAAAAAATGTGTCCCGGTATCCCCTACTTATCAACCCGCCTGGCCAGCATGAAAGTTAAAAATAAAACACCCCTTATGAAATGCCGAACATCTGAATCAAATTACCTTAGCCGAGTAGTGCCTTAATGACACTATGTGGCGAAACAGACACATGAGATGAAGTCAAGAATTTATAAAGCTAGTGTAAGACCAATCATGTCATATGCCTCAGAAATAAGACCCGACACAGCCACAAGACAAAGGTTACTGGAAACGGCAGAGATTTGGGTACTAAGAAGAATTACAGGAAATATGCTGAGATAAGAGAAGAATGAATACACATAATAGAAAAAAGAATGGAATAACCACGTAAGCAGAATGCGGAGACTCATGCCGTCAAAATAGCAAGAGATAAGTCACCAATTAGCAGAAGGAGTATCGGACGACCGCGCAAAAGATGGAGTGACAACCTTCCACAGAGGTATTAATCCGCCAATAAACAAGCATAATTGCTTATCAAGACGAAGAAGAGTAAAGCTAGTGTCTCTGAGTCTCGCACATCAGAATTCAAACTTCAGACAGTCCTATGGATTCTGCAGGGCAGAGATTCGCTAAGAATTAACAGAAGCAAAAATGAAATTCGCTAAGAAACAACAGAAACTGAAATATAAAATAATCACAGAAACATAACACAACCGAGTGCTTCATAGTACTTCAGCATTCAGAACAAAAAGTCCTGAAAGTAAAAAAGTAGAAATTAAGAAAATATCATGAACAGTGATAGAACTGACAAAAGTACGATGAAAATAAGAGCAATGTATCAAACTAATAATTGGCTACCAATTATTCTACAAAGAAGATGAAACTCAAGCAGTAGGCGGCGTAGACATACTTATTAATAAAAAAAGTGACATCCAGGATCACATATTGAAAAGAGTAATATCAAACAGTACACATCCAAATCAACCAACGTTATCCGTGTAAAATTATTCAGGCCTATACCCCGACATATTATCACGAAGATCAGGAAGTAGAGCAATTCTACGAAGAAATTAATTAAGCAATGATAGGAAACAAAGCAACGTATGTGATCTTAATGGACAATGTCAAAGCAAAAATAAAGAAAAAATTAAAATGAAATTTGGATTATGGACTATGGATAGATTAGGAGAAATACTAGTAAATTATACAAAAAAAAAACAATCTGTACATATGAGGAAATCTACAAAAATTGGCACCTTAACTGGAGTCAAATATGGTGATATTGCAATTTGCTGCCCGTACTCCGCAGTAACAATTTTTTTCTGTTGGTTGATACCAAAAAACATGTTTTCAGGTGCGAGCCTCAAAAAAAGGCAAATTTAAGTTTTTTCCAACAAAAAACTGATTTGTTCGCTAAAGCTATTTAATTCTTCTAGGGATCTGACTCGAAAAACGAGTGAAAGAGACTTCTATACTTGGAGCACACGTACATATCAGGTACCAATCGCTTCGTCTTGGTCTCCAGAAGGACTGACCCTTTGAAGAGCCAAGAAACACCTGCTCAAAGCATGGCAAGCAATCAAGTCATTTTAACTTGATTTTCCGGTAAAATCGCGAAAAAAATGAAAAAAAAAACATCGATTTTAGTGACTGAATAACCGCTTGCCACGCTTTAAGCAGGTGTTTCTTGGCTCTTCAAAGGCTCAGAGTTCCTTCTGGAGACCAAGACGAAGCGATTGGTGCCTGATATGTACGTGTGCTTTAAGTATAGAAATCTCTTTCACTCGTTTTTCGAGTCAGATCGCTAGAAGAATTAAATAGCTTTAGCGAACAAATCAGTTTTTTGTTGGAAAAAACTTAAATTTGCCTTTTTTTTGAGGCTCGCACCTGAAAACATGTTTTTTGGTATCAACCTACAGAAAAAAAATGTTACTGCGGGGTACGGCTCACCATGTTTGGCTCCAGTTAAGGGGCGAATTTTTGTAGAATTCCTCATATACAATATGTTCATTCAAAATCCAAGTGTAAATGAAAAAACTATAGACCCATTAACCTGTTATCGGCTTATATAAGCAATTTGTGAAGATAATTACATTGCGACTAACAAACTGGATAGTTATTAACCTCGGGAACAGGCAGGATTAAGAAAAGATAGCACCATAGCACAGAATAATAAACAAACAGAATGCCCACTCTCCAGTGTTGTTTATGTGGTGTGCATGGAAAAAAAACCAGGTTTATTTGACTTACGGCAATCATAGACATACTATACAATTATATTAACAGTTTTAAATATAATAACATAAATATTATTATAAAATTAAACATAAATGTAAACAATTGCATAACCTCACAAATCATATGTTTGTGTCCTCCTAAAACATGGCGCGCGTGCTGAAAAACTTCAAAGGCGGCATCTGAGAGTGGCCCTTCTGATTGTTTATTATTCTGTGACCATAGATAATAATATACAAAAATAAAACGAATACAATATAATACTCTAGGTATGTTAGATTACGACAAGGCATTTGACTCAATAGAAATTTGGGCAATCATTAATGTCTTAGACCATCAACCCAATCAACAATAGAGTTAATGACCGATTTGTAAAAATCATAAGTAAGTCAATGCAATGGCGAAAGTAAAAATATAAGGAAAAAGAAAACGATAAAACTACAGAGAGAAGTTAGACAAGGAGAGTCTATATCACATAAGTTTTTTTCTTTAAAATCCACTAGAAAACTAAGCTCCTGTAGCTAGCTGTATACCATATATCACAAAAATTTTTATTTCAAATCCTTTATAAAAGGTTTATAATAAAATGCCCAAACGGGCTATCACAATTACATTACAGAACGTTTTTGGAATGTTAATTCCATCATCAGTGTAAACAGAGTATACATGCTATGAGCCACCAAAATATATGGGTCAAAACCCTTTAAATGTTACAAATTTTTAGTTGTTTTTACATTATTTATAATTACAAATTACGATGTTTAAGTTACCGTTGGAATTGGTAACATGGCGACGTATGACCCTACATAGGTTATATGGTCCTTGGGACCTTTAAATGGTTTTGACCCATATATTTTGGTGGCTCATAGCATGTATACTCCGTTTACACTGATGATGGAATTAACATTCCGAAAACGTTCTGTAATGTAATTGTGATAGCCCGTTTGGGCATTTTATTATATACCTTTTATAAAGGATTTGAAATAAAATTTTTGTTCTTTAGTCCTAGAAAATATGTTTCAAACTTTATAATGATAAAGAAAATGGGTAAGAAAAGTAACAGATGTAATTCAAAAGTTTGCCATGTTAAAATGGAACTGGATCGGACACAGAGAACATTCGTTGGATCAAGGAATTGTTGAATGGCTACCAATGATAAATCAGAGAAATAGACGCAGACCTCACACCAGATGGACTGATCGACTAAAGTAAAAAGCTGGTCATGAATAGGCGCAAAAAACAACGAACAAAAATGAATTGGCACTCCTAAGGGAAGCATATATCCGACGATAGATGGAATAGCTGTTAATAATGATCGTGATATCTATTAAACGTAGCTTCAGGCGCTATATATAAAGGACTCTAATTTTCTTATAAAGCATTTTTGAAAAATGTATTTTCCGGAAATTAGCAATTCTCTTTTTGCGAAGCAACTTTCGGACACCGTGTATTTCACTTTTTTCACAATTTTAACTTTTAATGATGGCTCATCTTGCAAGAAAAGTAAGCTTTTCTAGAAAATCACACCTTTCTTGTATCTGTTTTAGGTAGCAGATTTTAACGGATATACTTGGAACATCCACCTTATTGTGTTCATTGTTACGTTGCCAATTTGGCTTTTATGCTTAATAAGAAACTTGAAAACCCTGGCACCCGTTTCAATGGTAGCAAACATCATATTAATTTTAGGCATTTTGGCTGTATACTACAACATGCTGTCTGAAAGGCTGCCACCATTTTCGGAGAGGAAATTAGTAGCTGTCCCCAGGAAATGGCCTTTGTTTTTTGGTACGGTGGTTCTTGCCTACGTAGGAATCGGATTGGTAAGTGGTAATATTAGTTTATATAGTTTTTATATGGAAATCAAAGGAAATCGGAAAGTCAAATGGATTAAAGACAAGCTCTAGATGTTTTTCAAAAGCCATGACTAAAGCAATGTCAGGATTAAATTACGAGAACATATTTATATACCTTGATGACTTGATAACATTTGACAGCAGTCTACAAGAGCACAACCAAAACCTAGTGAAGGTACGAGAAAAATCGAGAAAAGTAAATCTGAAGTTAAATCCGAATAAATGTGAGTTTGTGAAGAAAGAATTCTTACACTTAGTGCATAAAATCTCGAGCAAGGATATAGCACCAGTTCCAGAAAAAAATCATTACAATAGAACAATATTCTACACCGCAGAATGTAAAATGATTCGTAGTACTGCCAATTATTTTAGAAAACGTATAAAACAATTTGCAGTATAGTCGCATTAGCCGCACAACTTAATAGATTATCGAGGAAAAATGTAAAATTTTAATGGACAAAAAAAGCATTTGATAGCCTCAAGACATCTTTACCAAATCCCCGTGATGGAATTGCCAGATTTATTACAGGAAAACAAGTTTATTCTAAGGATGGATGCTTCAGACATATCACTAAGAACTAATCTTTCGAACAGTAATGACAAACTGGTAGCATATGCCAGTAGGATAGTCATTAAATTATTCTTTAAATTATTCTATGATAAAAAAGGAATACTTTGCAATAGTACCTATTTGGGATGACAAACTCTTCAAGTAGATTAATCAAATTCAAAGTGAGGCTGGAGGAATACAGCTTTACAATTAGATACGTAAAAGGAGCTGAAAACGTTACACCAGATGCCTTATCACGAATTGAAGTCACATCAGAAGAGTTAAAGCAACTAAATAAAGGCACAGAAGGAAGTATATTGGTGTCAACGAGAGCACAAATTAAGAAACAGGTCAGATTAACCGGACGTTGTCGAACTGTTCAAATTTCCTAAAGATGAAGTAGAAGTGAGACTAATAGATAATAATAAATACAAAAAAATAAAGTTAGATTCTGCTATAATTTATAATACATACAGAGAATAGTATATTATATAACAAAGAGGAAAATACTATTCATTTGATTTGAAATTCTCGATCAACGTCTGCAATACAAGCGCCGTTGAGAGACTCGGAATATCAAGAACCTCGATTAGCGTCTGCACTACAAGCATCTTTACGATTGTACTAATAGTAAAAAATGAAAGAATCGGCAAATTATTGACCAAATAAAAAAGGATCCTAAGGTTCGCTGCGAATGCGTTCTCCAACAGAACTTTTAAGCAGGCTTATTTTTGGTTTCCCTAAAAAATCAAAACAACAGATCCAACAGAGGTCTCAACAAACAACCAACGACCGGTGTACCATTCTATACCATATTCCAGGCTTAAATGTGAAATTCCAAAAAAACGGTGACAAGTGACAATCGTACAAGTTACATTAATCTAAATAAAGTACAAGCCTGTGCATTAAGTGAACATTCTGTCACGATAGGTCACACACCTAACGATGAACCAAGTAGAAGAAGACCTTGAACAAAAGAGCAGACATTGAAAATTTATGTGCTATATACAGTAATCTACGGTCAATGAAAGATGTCTCAAAAAATTGCATTTATTAGAGGGGTTATTCCAAGTTCAAGTGATATCAAGTACTGTTTTTTATTTGTGTTTGGTTTTTCCCTTCTTTATTAGTAAGATAAACTCTGTTTGTTGCTTGTTTAATAAATACTAAGAGAGGGTAAACGAAACAGTTCTACCGATTATGCCAAAATGAGCGATGGAAGTTGCTAAACATAGGCGCAGAGACAGACAGGTCGATGTAGGGTACTGTTCTGTTTGCTTTTCCCTAGTACAGTTCCCCTCTTCTTCGGTCCTCTGTCAAACTAACCTAAAATTTATATAGAAAAATAGAAGAGACGTCGAAAATATAGTGATAAGTTTACAATGAAGGAAAAAGAAAGGCAAATTAAATAAAATATCGTGTTGAGTTATTCTGTTAATTTTAGAGTAGCATCCTACAAGGATAAGCCTGTAAAGATACAACAATTCATTGTACAATGTAGATTTTTTAATTTGTAGTATGTTTTGATAAAGAGTTAAATAAACCGAAAGCTCAGCAAGTCTTAAAAAGTTTCACTTAAAGGCCAATAGATGACTACAAACCCAAAATATCTATATGTATACTCACCGTCACTAAATCCCTATCTAAGAATATATATATATATATATATATATATATATATATATATATATATATATATATATATATATATATAGTTGTAAAATAACCAGTTATAAAATTTGTTTTAGGTGATTCCTGTTCAAAGATCAATGAGAGTACCGGATGATTTTGATAAGACATTTGGGGTGCTTAACCTAGCAATGGCCATTTGCATTTGTTGGTATGCAAGTATTGGTTTTCTAGGTTATTTAAAATTTGGTGAGGATATTAAAGGAAGTATCACTTTAAATATGCCACAAGATCAAGTGTAAGATATTATTTTACTATTATATCGTACCTATATTATTATATTGAATAACACATTAATCCCTTTAACGGTGAATACGAACTCAGTTCGTTTCTGATTGTATGGGCATTTACTGGTAAACCCGAGTTCAGCTCGTCATCACCAAACTTTCAAGTGCTAATGATGATAACTTGATAGGTTCTAAAACTCTTTTTTTTTTAATTTTAAATAAAATTTATTACTAAACATTTTTTACAATTTTCAACTAAAAAGGATTATCTTCTATCAGTAAAAATATGCTTATAAAAAAAGCTTCTTTTAACCTCTACTGATGTAATCGGACTACAAATCCTGGCGTATGCTGATGATATCAATATAGTTAGGAGAACTGAAAACGCTGTACGAGAGGCATATGTAACATTAAAAGAATTAACTAGAAATATGGGTTTAATAATAAACACCAACAAAACCAAGTACATGAAAATAAGCACGCAACCACAAATACTACGACCACTTGTTATAGAAAACGACGTCATCGAAGCAGTGAACGAATTTGTATACCTGGGAGCGCTCCTTACATTGAAAATAATACTACCACAGAGATAAACCGCAGAATTTTCACGGCCAACAGATGCTATTTTGGGCTCAATCTCCTCCTTAAATCCACAATTATATCGAGAAATACAAAAATAAAACTCTAAAAAACAATAATATGCCCAGTCCTAACATATGGTTCAGAGACCTGGACTCTAAACAAAAAATAATGAAAACATGTTAGGATGTTTCGAAAGAAAAGTACTAATGCGAATCTATGGAATAGTGAATTACAATGGAGTGTGGAGAACCTACTTCGGACCATACTTTAAGGTAAAGTGCATGGGAAAAGAGGTCCAGGACGAAGAAGAATATCCTGGCTGCATAACCTGCGAAAATGGTTTAACTTAACCACTACCGGACTTTTCAGGGCAGCAGTCAACTAAGTCAGAATAGCCATGTTAGTGTCTAACATCCGTAACGGATAGGCACCATAAGAAGAAGAAGTGGAGAAGACGATACAACTTGGAACTTTGTATCAGGAACCTGATATCGTAAAACATATTAAGATAGGACGTCTGAGGTGGATAGGGTATGTATGCGGATGGAACAAAATGACCCAGCTAGAAAAACGCTCATTCATTGGCCAGAGAAGAAGAGAAAGACCCAGAACAAGGTTGATACCATCAATGAAGACATGAGAAATATGGGAATACGTGCTTGGCGAAGAGATGGGAGGCGATGGATAGTGACGACTGGAGATAAATTCTTGAGGAAGCTAACACCCACGCAGGGTTGTAAAGCCAGAATGATGATGATGATGTCAATTGGACAATATTGCAACTTAGGTAGTAAAGTAAATAAGACTAAGATACAATATCGTTGGATTTTTACCTTCATAAAGGCTTTTTACTGCTGTTAATATAAAACCTGAATTCTTTTTTTACAGTAAAATCCAATCTATTCCTTACTTAATCTCAAACTTTACCGGGAATTTTGTTACATTTAGCGGATAAAGTTTCAGTAATACTAATTCAGTCCGTTAAACTTAAATTTCTACTCTCTAACGAGGATATTATGTCCGAGGATATTAAGATCTTTAACTACACTTGTACTTTTTAACAACTCTTTAATTTGCACAATACACTGCGAATAGTCATCTAAATATAAAATTAGTTCTGTAACGGCTTCGAAATGTTTTGCGTAGAACATTGTGGTCTTAATCCATGTTCTCCACCAAGTGTATAGGTTCTGGAGGCAAACTAACTCCTGTTCATCTCTCCTTGTACATCTGCATTCTTTAGAAAGTTTTTTTTATTTACTAAAGCATATTTAATTAGGTATGACGGTTTCTGCGACTCGGTTTATTCTATACAAATGTTGCATAGAATATTTTACACGTACCAAAAGAAAAAATTAAGATTTTTTAACCTTAAAAACTTAAATGTGTGGTGTTACTATAAAAAATACTAATAATTCAGTAATAAGCAGACATAAAATTTCATTAACTCACGTATAGTACTAACGCACTATAAGTATTCACTTCTGTCGGCACCTCCGAACTGCCACATTTTTTAAATGTAGCAAATTTCTGAAGTTTAAGAGATTGAAATATATTTAAAAGTTGATAGTTTTATTAACATTTTAGACTGTATCAAGTAGTTACTTTGATGATAGCCGTTTCGTTCATTCCAATGTATGCTTTACAATTCTATGTCGCTAACGATATTATATGGCCAGCAGCATACAAAAAATCGGCATTTTTGAGACATAATCCCGTAAGAGGAGAGCTTATTCTTCGTTCTATTCTAGTATTGATCACATGTAAGTAAATAAGAAAACATAACTAAATGAAAGAATACAAGTCTTTTTTTTATATTATGTAGTAGTTTTTCACTGTAAAATATCTAGTTTCTAGTATGTGGCACTATCTTTAATAAACACTCAAAATAGTCCATCCTGATATTTAGCAATATACATTGGATTTGGTAAAAATGCTAATGTTTATTCCAAAATGGACATCTTTTAACGATATAGATATGTGTCATTTGTCAACACCCTTCCTTCAGTACCACAAACCTTTAATTATTGTAAAGGTATTTCGCTGGAGAATTCAGACATCCACGATTTTTCTGTTCGTATTACCTATTTTGAAGCTATTTCTCTCAGGATTTTGAAGTTATACAAAGAAACTAATTTTTTAAATCTTAATAAGCATATTTATCAGTATAAAAGCTATGTACTACGTTAAAACGAGAACCTTAAATCGGGGTTATCACGCGAAATGCGAAGAAGTACATATGTATGTACATATCTGAGAAATATCTACTACAAAAAGTGGCTGATCCAGAAATTTTTGTCGGGTGGGTCATGGGTTTTGAGGGTGATTTTGATATAGGATTTAGATTTTTGCACCTTTACGATTGATATGATTTGTGCCTCATGTAAGGGAACCATTTTCTCAATAATTATTTTAAGCGATATATTAAACCAATGAGAAGTTATTAAAACCCAAATACCTTACGGGTACAAAGAAGGTACAACATTAAGGGGTCTTTAACTTAAACAAAAAAAAAAATAATGTAAACCCACATACTCATGACAATAAAATCAAGTGTACAAGACTATTAAACCAAAGGATATACTGAAAAATAAAGGACTGTTAATTTAAACTAGGAATTTTAAAGACAATTAATTTAAACCCACCTATCCTATGGCTACAAAATTAAGAACAAACCAAGGAAACCAAGAAACGTTATACCGTTTTTAAAGGACGTTTGGTCACCCTAGTATACTTACTTTACTTTATCGTGTCCGGACATGTCATTCATAAAATTTCGGCCCAGTATAGGGCTACGTCGGTTCCATCTTTGTTGTCGAGCCACAAATCTTCAAGGGTACATCGATGAGGACAGTTTCTGCATGTAAGAAAATGTTCCATATTCTGTGTTTCTCCATAGTCACAGTTCACATCATCTTGGTCTACTTTTCCCCATTTTGCCATGTTTGATTTTACTGTAGCAACCCCCGTTCTTATCCTATTCAAGGTTTTCCACGTTTTAAAGTCTAGGGCCTGGCCGGTCCATTGAACCTGGGGAAGTGGAAAATACTCAGGCGGTTCATCCTGCACTGTTCCAAGGAAGCTTTTCCTAGATTTTAGTCGCTTTCGTGGTGTTCGAGCTTTGTATAGGGCATGCCGATCGTCCGCGATCTGTTTAATTTTCTCTATGTGTTCTGCAGCGCATCTGCGTGTTGAGGGTTCTGCAAAACCCGCTGCTCTATATAGATTTGAAAGTGGCGTTGGTTTGATGCACCCCGTTACTATCCTGCATGTCTCATTTAGCGCAGTATCAACTTGTTTGGTGTGAGCAGATCTGCTCCAAACGGGGCACGCATATTCAGCAGTTGAGAAACACAGTGCCTGTGCCGTTGTTCTTAAAACGCCAGGACGTGCGCCCCATTTACTTCCCGTTAGCTTTCTGAGTATGCTGTTTCTAGTTGTTACTTTCCCTCTTGTTTTTATGCATTACCTTTCCACACAATTTGGAGTTTTCGCTTGGCTTCCTTTGTGCGAAGGTGGAAAGCGCAGACTTGGGTTTTAGAGGGATTGGGTCTCAGAGAATTCTGCAGGTAGTGCGCTGTCATTGTTTTTAAGACAGTTTCGAGTTTCTCCTCCGCTTCTTCAAAACTATTTCCTTGAGCACATATTGCAAGATCGTCAGCATAGAGGAAGTGCTTGGTTTCGGTCGGAGTAGGTTGGTCGTTTGTGTATATATTAAAGAGCATTGGTGCTAAAACACTTCCCTGTGGGAGGCCGTTTTTTTGAACTCTCCACCTACTTACTTTACCCTCCAGCATAACGAAAAAACGTCTATTTTGCAGTAAGGAATATACGACCTTTCCCAGATGGTGGTCATTGAGAGTGTCGTATAATTTACGGAGCAATGTTTTGTGCCTTACTGTGTCATAGGCTGCTGTCAGATCTACAAAAGCAGCCCCTGTTATAAGTTTTTCTTCAAAGCCCTCTTGGTCTGTAGCTACTGGGGTCTTCTGGATCCTTTCCTGGTTTTAACAAGCCTATTACTTTAGATTTCCGCCATGATTTTGGAATTTTGCAGGTTTTGCAGCACGTGTTATAAAATTGCAAGATCCAGTTTTTTGCTCCTTGGCCTAAATGCTTTATTTGTTCACTGCATATATCATCCACACCTGCAGCTTTCCCGTTTTTTAGCCTGTTCAGACCGTCGTGGAGTTCTTTTAGTGTAAAAATAGTTCCTAGGTGGTTTGTCCCCGAATCCAATCTTCTCCTAGTGTTTGGGTCCTTATATCGGTTAGTAGTTCTTCCATTCGTAAGGAGTTGAGTAGCGACTTGGTTTGCTGTAACCTTGCAAGGTGGTTTATGTTCTTTTGGATCGCCGCTGAGTTTTTTTACAAGGTTCCATGCTATTTTGCTACTATGTGTCATGTCCATTTTTTCCAGGGTCTCAATCCACTTTTCCTGTTTGGCTTGACTTAGCTGTTGGAGTAGTACTGCTCCGCAGTCAACCGTTTCTTGGCTAAAAGTGTCAGTGGAATAGAGGGTTTCGTATGTTCTCATTAGTTCTTTGGACTCGCTGGACATCCCGGGAACATATTGTTGTCTACATCCTCTAGGGATAGTTTTTCTAGACACATTTTTCGAATTTTTCGTAGTTCTCTACTTTTGGTTCAAGGCGTAGTAGTTCAAAATCTAGCATGTCTGCGTTATACTTTTGCCAGTTTGCCTTTTTGAAGTTAAATCTCCTTCTGAATGGAATAGCTTGTGGTCTGACAATTGGGAAGATTTATACCACTTGGTCTATGCTGAGTTTTTGGTATGGGGCCATATACTACTTTGGTACATCGGTCTTCGAGGTTGTTGCTTGAAAAACAGATATCCGGGTTATATCCTCTTTTCCAAACTTTGCTATGAAAAGATGGTGGAAGTTTAGGATCATGGATTAACGTGAGGCCACTCGTTTCGGCCCATGCTTCTACTGCGTCTCCATTTGCGTCCGAATCTGCATAGCCCCAGAGTAAACTGTGACTGTTAAAGTCTCCCAGTATAAGCTGATTGGCTTGTGATTGAAAATTAGTTGGGGGTGAAAATATAAAAGGCTGGTTTGGGGGCTTGTATACCGAGGTTATTGTGCATTTTCCGATCTCAGTGGTTATTATCTCTATACCGTGTACATTTGTTGTTTCCACAGATGAGACTATGGTTTGAGTTCTCACAAATACCGCGCTCCCATGCTTATTGTGTGGTATCTCTGCAATCAGTTTCATACCAGAGACTTTCGGTCTCGATGCAGTTAGGTCTCTGTGGGTTTCCTGGATGCACAATACCTCACATTTCGTGTTCTTGCAGAATTCTGATAAGATGTCTTGTTTGGCTGTAGTGATGCCCTCGATATTTATGCTCGCTACTGTCAGTGTTGGCTTTGAGAAGAACCGTTGTGGCTTGATCTTTGCCATCGGATTTGGTTTGGTCCGGTCCTAGTACAGACTGCATAGAGTGTATATTACTACTGTACATAAATATGAACAACGACTGAATAAACATAAACAACAAACAGAACGGAAGATCCACCTATGAACTAATCGGTACTCTATCAACTAATCGTGGTCTTTCAGAGGAAAATTGGTGAGCGATTATTGTTCTACGATTTTAGCTCAACCACCATCGCTGAACGATTATATACATATGACTTATAAATAAAAACGCCTACATCTCAGCTACAGAAAACTTTTCTGGAAGATTCATTTTACATTATGATTACGTACAAAATAAAAGACATAAAACAATAGATAATTGATCAATTGTTTTCATTGAAGTTCAACAGAATAGATAAAATATTTGTACACTACCACTACGTGAGAAAATTGGAACACATACTACGAATTTGAATGTGTCCGTATTTGATAATACGCAAGTAGGTACATTAAATTTGATAACATGCTGGTATTTTACACTATAAATTTCGTACTATACATTTTTTGTATAATCTTGTTTTAATTATCTGTCCTCTTATTTTAGTTTTATTCAAACATATTTTGAGAATAAACCACAAAATTGTCTTTCAGATATAAAAACCGTTTCCAACCTCATATTATTAATATATTCATCACAATCATCATCACAGATATTAACATTTTAGCAAATGTGTTGTGGTTCATCATTGAGCTTTGCCAACTCGGACAGTTTGAGTAATGTCTGCCCATCGCTGTTGAAATCTGCCGCGTCGGCATTGACTCTGAGGCCTTCCTTGGACCACCAACCGCTACATTTTGTGAAAGATTCGATGGATATGACCAAAGAACTTTGAAATTCTAGAGTAAACAGTACTAGAGAGACGCTGATTGGTTTAATTTCATCTAGAACAGAGCGAGCATGGGGCGAGCCGTCCATGGAATTAGAAGCAGTCGTCTGCATGTCCACATTTTAAAAGTGTCTATGCGTTTTCTACCTGATCCTTTGGCTGTCCATGTCTAGCATATATAGTAAAACATGGAAAAGAATTGAGTTAAAGCCAGTTTTATCTTGTTCGTCATAGTAATGTGACGATTACGCCATACCCCATTAAGTTCAGTCATTGTTGCTCTTCTTCTTACGGTGCCTATCCGTTCCGGATGTTGGCGATCAACATGGCTATCCTAACTTTGTTTGCTGCTATTCTGAATAGTCCGGTTGTTGATGTATTAAACCACTTTCTTAGGTTTTGAAGCCAAGATATTCTTCTTCTCCCTGGTCCTCTCTTTCCAAATATCTTGCCCTGAAGAATGAGTTGCAACAAGCCGTATCTCTGTTCATTCCTCATAACATGGCCAAGATATTCTAGTTTGCGCTCTTTGATGGTGTTTCTCTCGCATTCCTTGCCTATTCTACGTAGGACCTCAACATTAGTCACACGATCCACCCATGAAATTCTTAAGATACGTCTGTAACACCACATCTCGAATGCCTTGAGTTTTCTTAAGGAAGCTTCGGAAAGTGTCCAGGCCTCTACTCCGTATAATAAGGTAGAAAATTGTTACTCTTGCTACTTGTATTAATATATCACTAAGATGTTTTTTATTACTAAGATATAATTTTAAAAATAATACATACATGTAATTATTTATTTTTATGTTTTAGTTGCATTTGCAGAAATAATTCCATTTCTAAGTCTGTTTATATCAATAGTTGGATCGGTGAGCTGCACAGCGATGAGTATGGTATTTCCCGTTATTTTAGAAATAGCTTCAAAGAAAACTTCTGAGGAACTCACAACTTTTATCATCGTTAAAGACGTGTTCATCATAATATTGTCTATAATCGGAATGACTACCGGTGCCTTTGTTTCGCTTTGGGATCTAACATACGCTTTTCGAGAACATTACGGTTTATAATTAAATTATTTCCATAACATCAATAAATATAAAACAACAAATAGGAGTAAAATTTACTTTGACTAAACTAGTCGATAATTAGATATTAGCTGTTTCCCCTTATTTTTCTTTTTGTATATTATAGCTTGATAACTGCGAGCTGAGAGTGATAAATAAGAAGACTAAGAATTTGAGCAGTTGAAAAATAAGAACTGAAATAATAAATAAATATTAGTTGAATTTCAATAGCCAAAACATGTTTTAATCAACATCCCAGAAGGTTATCAAATTCAAGTAATTAGAGAAAAAAGAATCGTTTATAATCCAATTGTATTCAATTTTAAATTCAAAAGTTTTCTGAAATTAAAAAGACAAAAAGTAACCAGAATAATTAACACTGTTCAACTAAAAAACCCAAAGAAAGAAAAAAATAAATATCAAGATTGACAAAAAATAGAAACGATAGAGAACCAAGTGCGAAATGAAGACATTAAAGAAAGATGAAACGCTTTAAAAACAAAAATAACCAATACCCAAGAATCGCTTTAACGAAAAATTAAACATAACGAAGAAAGAATGAATAAGAAATTATGGACCTAATGAATGAGAGACGAAAACACAAAATAAATTCAACTGAACACAAGAAATTCGATAAAATAATTAGGAATAAATACAAAGAGCACACACATCGTACAGTTGCACAGCAATATTATTTTAATGGGAATAAGCCACAATTGAAGGGTAAAATAAGTTTATTGACGTTTTAATTTCCATTTCGGAAATTGTTCTCACAATACAAACATTAATAAATTAAACAAATTTTGCTTTTTTGTTATTTGGTGAAAAATTCTTCTAATAATTTAATTTTATCTGACTCATATTGACAATTGAGACATATATTAGACATTTTAAAGTAGAACACCTCATTTTTATGAAGTACCGAAAGTTCAATAAAAAATACACAACATTTTTTAAATCTTCTTTTTCCTATGCCGTCCCCATTAACGGAGGTTGGCGACCACATTTTTAAAAGCTTCTCTGTCTTTTGCAACGTGGAATAATTCGTCTACAGTCATGTTTGTCCAGTCTCGAATATTTCGCAGCCATGACTTCCTCTTTCTACCTATTCCCTTTTTGGCATCGACTCTACCCTGCATGATGACCTGCAGAAGACTATATTTATTATTTCTTAGTATGTGTCAAAGGTATGCAGTCTTGCGTACTTTTATCGTTCTCAACAATTTTTTGACTCGACCCATTCTTCTCAGCACTTCCTCATTGGTGACCCTGGCAGTCCATGGGATTCTCAACATTCTCCGGTATATCCAAAGTTCAAAGGTTTCAATCTTTTTAACTATTTGCGCTTTTAGTGTCCATGTTTCTACCCCGTACAATAATTGCGACCAGACGTAACATTCAACAAACCTCAGTCTCAGCGCAATATTCAGATTTTTGTCACAGAACAATTGTTTGAATTTTAAGAACGCTGCCCTTGCCATTTCTATTCGTACCCGGATCTCTTGGTCTGGATCTAATTCTGTGTTGATGTAAGCTCCCAGATATTTATATTTTGTCACTCTATTTGCTGACCACCAAGAGTTAGTTGTTCATTATTTATTGGACTCCTTGATACTATCATAAATTTGGTCTTATCTGTGTTGATGTCAAGTCCCATTTGAATGCATTCACTATTTATTGTATCTAGTAAAGTTTGTAGATCTTCTATACTCTCAGCCATAATTACCGTGTCATCTGCAAATCTCATGGTGTTTATGATTTCTCCACAAATTCTTATTCCCTCTTTTCTTTCCCATAAGGCTTTTCTGAATATGACCTGTGAGCACACGTTGAAAAGCGTCGGAGACAAGACGCATCCTTGCCTAACCCCTCTCGCAATCGGTATATTATTTGTTTCTATATCGTTCACCTTTACTACTGCTTTCTGGTTCCAGTATATAGCCTTAATAAACTCAATGTCTTTTAAATAATTGATGGATTCGACCGTCAATGTCTTTTTTGTCTAAATTGATGTTTTTTAATTCATCTTTTAATTCATTTTTTAAATAAATTATCGAATATTGAATTTAATTCAAATAATATTTTAGTAAGTTTTGACAAATAGTTTATTTACAAATGTGCCATTATATAAGACTTTAAATATAATCAAAAAAAAATTAGAAAAAGATACATTGGCAACTAGAACAAGACTAAATATATTAACTATAATGGAGTTATTGATATTATATAATGATAATCCCTATTTTCAACTAAATAATGAATTCAATAAACAAATATTAATGGGCTCTAGCTTATCTCCATTATTAGCCGATATATTTATGATTTTGAAACAAAATTATTTCTAAACAAAATTTAAAACTCACACTACGGAGGAGATATGTAGATGATGTATTCTGAATATTGTCTCATGGATCGGAGTTGCTGGACACATTCCTGGATTATATAAAAGATAAAGAAGAGGAAATAACATTTACCACTGAAAATGAATATAATAACACACTTCCTTTCCTGTACGATACTGGATATGAGACTCAGATGTATAGAAAACCAACACATACCAACAGATATCTAAATTACAAATCAAATCACAACATCGATAATAAAAAGTGAATCATTAAATCCTTATACGATAGAGCCAAAATTACTTGTTCTAATGAAAATTCATTCTTAGAGGAGAAACATTTATTAAAATCTGTTTTATTAACAAATGATTATCCTTTATCGTTTATAATAAGGAATTTTCAACAATCAACCGAATAGAACAAAACAACTTAGAACGAGATCCTACAGTATACACAAGGAATAATACGAGAAAAATAACAATACCATACATAAAAGGATTATCAGAAAAAAGATAGGGAATAAACTCAACAGTTCAAGAACATTCAAAACAACAATCACATTTTATCTAGATCTAGAGATCTATTTTATCTAAAACTAAACCTAACAATGAGCAATAAAGAACAAAGAATTATATTTATAAAATACCTTGTGAATGCGATCAGTTTTCTTTAGGTGATACATTAGGACCCTTAAATGTTAGAATAAGTAAACATCAATCTTATTTTAAAAATAGAGAATTTGATAGATCTCAAATATGTAAACACGCAAGAAAAATTAACAAGGATTCAATGAAACGATTTAAGTATAGTCCTAAAATAAGCAGATGGTAAAAAGAGAAAGATCAAAGCAAAACGTGTAGGCGCTTGTCTCCGTATTGCAAGACCTTGTTTTCCTATGAACTTCAAAACATTAATGATAGTATATGACACCTACCTTATGTCGAATACGTCTTTTTCCATTTTAGCGATTTTTTTTTTTTCAAACAAAATACAGTCAATTGCTTTCTGGTTATAAGAAATACATGTTTTTACGGAATCTTTATGACCATTTTTATCTTCATTTACTGTTTGAATTAGATGTCTAAATCGGTTTAAACCTTGACACAAAATTGATGAACCATCCGAAAAAAAAAACAAATACTACAGTACTGCTTTTTTCACTTCTATTGTAACTAAGCCAGTGACGATTTAATTTTTGACCATCCACCAAATGAAAAAAAAAAGTCGTTTGCCTGACACAGAAGGTTTTTTGAAGTAATTTTGGGAATTCAGTTCATCTACAGTAAAGTATTTTTTCTATTTCTCCTTTACCTTTATCCCCTCCTTCGTCTGCACCTATTTCTTCTTCTATTTCTTCGATATCTTTATTTAAAATAGAGAAAAAATTACTATCATCCATATTTTGAAGAATGTTTTTTTAATGGTGATTATAATGAAAATATAGTATTTCTCTAGAAAGGAGCTGAAAAATAGTCGACATCTACTAGACCAGACTAGTTTTTGCAACGAGCCACGATAAGTAAAACTAATTTACTTATCTATATTTTTGACCCCAATTGGGTGGATTTTTCAAAACTCTTTCAAAAAGGGCGGCATCAAAAATAGAGCAGCAAATATGATAATCTGTCTCTGCTAGGAGTAGCAGTTTGTTCTTCTATTTTACGAATTATTTTTTATATAAAAAAGTAAGGCATACAAAATGTATAGAAGAAAGGTGCAATTAAAGTACACAATTCGCTGTTAACACTTTGAAACCAGGTTGCAAATACAAGTCACGCGCAACAAGCAGCGCACGACAAAAACATTTTTAGGATTTGGGATGTCATTTGTTGCGTTCACAGTTTTTGTTATCTAGTAGTTGGTAGTAACACAATAGAAATAGAAACTGTGGAACAATGGAAGAATGGAGAACGAGCGAACTAATTCTACTACTAAAAGAGGAGATAAAAAACAGCCAGAAAACTACAGAGGTATAAACTTGTTAAATACTACGCTAAAATTTACAACTAAAATTTTATAAGTGCTAATAAATCGGAGGATATGTTTAGCAGATGAAGTACAGGGCTTTCGTTATAAAGCAAATTAATGAAAAATAGGTAGAGTATAATAGACCAGCTTTTCTGTGTCTGATTAACCTAAAAAAAGCGTGGTTGACAAAGTAAGACTCAAAGATGTAATCCATCTTCTGTATAATAGAGAAACTCCCATAAATATTATAAAAACTATCGAAAACATCTACTAAAACAAAATGGAAGCCAAAATAGATGGACAACTTACAGAACCTATAGAAATAGGCAGCGAAATAAGGAAGGAAGAGGATACAGAATGGGAAACAAAGAAATAAAAATACTCTGTTGTACAGACGACGCAATATTGATAGCCCAAGATTAAGATAGTGTGCAAAGGTCCACAGATTTAACATAAGAGCAAAAGAATTTAATATGATAACCTCATCTCATAGTAGTCAGCCAAGAAGCAACCAGATGTAAAATAGAAATTGATGGCAGCAGTATTGAACAACTAATGGAAATAAAATACCCGGGAATTATACTGCCAAGTTATGGAGGCCTGGACAAAGAAGTGGGACATCAAGTACAAAAAGCAAATAGACTGACAGGATGCCTTAATAACAATATATGGCGAAAAAAATTCGGAAAAAAAAATTCGGAAAAAAAATTCGGAAGTTAGAATATTTCGGTCATGT